AAAATAATAATAATAAAAACAAAGCAAAAACTTATCCACATGCTTCTTTTTTCCTTTTTTTTGTTTTTTTTCGTTCTTTCTTCCTCTGCTTTTTCTCGTGTGGACTTCAAATCCAGAAGTCTACTGCTTGAAGGGGGTCTCACACATATCACACCGAACCCTCCCTGGTGCGTTGATGAATGTGCAGACGCCACAAGCGACCTGCGCCTTTGCCTCGGCAGCGCCGCTACGCCGACTTTTACCAACGGCGCCGTGGAGCCGGGTCGCACCAAATGCCGTGGAGCTCTCTTGCACCGGTTGGAGCAGCTCCGCCGGGACCTCCTCCCACACCTCAGTCTCCTTCATTGCACCCGCAATCTTCTCCAGCACACGTTCCGTGGCGTTCACTGTCAGTACGTCGCCGTCGCATAGACCGTAGTCAAACAGAGTACCGGCATCCTCATCGCCCTGCAAAGACGTTGGCATTTCATTGGTATCAATGACTAAAGGGGACGCAACATTGCCGGAACCAGACGGTTGCGCTTCGGATTCGTTCTTCTCCATTGTGTGGTTCCGATGACGGCGCAGTGGCTTACGCCCACGGAGAAGCTCCATCTCCTGCAGAGGCAACAGAAAACCGTGATGCTCTGCCACCAGACGAGATATGGCCTGTTTGAGCTCACGCAGAGTGGTGGTGTGATGCAGTTCTCGAAGTACATCCGTGGACTCGTAAAAGTTTTTCCTACTGCGGCGAAAGCGTAGCTGTAGTCTCAGCGACCCGTTCAAAAAGTAACGAGACGATTCCCTAATTCCCTCGAGAAGCGATGCCACACATTCCTCGCAAGTGGGCGGGTCAAAGACACGGTCCGTGTTTCGCTCCACAAATAAAATCGTTTTGCTTGAATTCACCCTGCATCGGATAAGTTCCGTATTCTTCTCTCCTGAAGAAGGAGATGGAGGTAAAAGCATTCCCGATTTTCCATACGTCTCAATTATTTCTATAAACTCTGTCAACGGCAGCAGCAACAGTGGAGGGAACGGCGGCAATTTGTTGTCATCGTCCAGAGAGTACACGTCACAGGCATCGTCGATGGAAATGGCGGAAGATCTCTGGTGCCACAGTCGCACGAGATGCCGGGCAACGGATTTTGCCTCCCAAAACGGATCTGCCGGATTAAGAAGATGCGGTGCAACAAGCGTCCCACCATGTGGACAGAGCAACGCCTCGTAATCAAAAAAAGGCGGGAGCGAGAAGGTGCCATCCAAATCCATGAACCATCGCCGCCAAAGTGTCACCCACCACATCGGAATGCACCCGTATGTGTAGCACAAATCCGGACACGTCGCGGCACGTGCCTTCTTGAGTGCCTCCTCCGCCTGCTGCAGTGGAGTCGCAACAGACATTGACGGTGTCACTTGTGGAGCGGTTCTTGTCTCAGTGGAACTATTGGTTTGTTTAAACCTTTTCTTCTGCCCTCCTCGCCGCACCCGCATGGACTCCCACGCTGCTTCCGCCTTTTTTCGCTCTTCCTCCTCTCTTGTGAGCGTGGCAATCTGCGTCTCGGCGGCGGCAACCACGGCAGCCTGCTCCTTTTCCCACGAACGATAGTGATCCCGGTAAAGGCGTTCGAGGTTCCTCTTCCACACGTAAGAATTCGGGTGTTGTTTCCGCATCTCTGCCTGTGGCATGGAAAGGAATTGAGCGGCAGATGCCAAGGTGGGGAACCGTTTCGACTCAGCGATCTTTGACATCTTCGCATGATGGCGCTGCGCTGTCAAGCTGACGGTGTTTTGAATGCAGTCGGGGCACCGGAGAGTACTCTCCGTGGGAAGGTACGGCAGAAACTTGTCCAAAACCTCGAATGTGTTTTCGCCCGCGCAGAGCGGCTGCGCAACTCGCTCTCGCAGATAACGCCAAGTAGCCGCAGGGACCACCTGAACTGCCGCGGATGGCGCAAGAAGCCGATGATCGCAGAGAAGTCTGCCACATTCGGGTAAAGTAAGCCTGGAGACATTATCATGCCAATTGTTATTTTTATTATTATCATTATTATTATTATTATTGTCGTTACTCTCGTTTCTGTCCGCTGCCTCCTCCATGCGAAGGGCGGCAAAAAGCCCCGTGAAGCCCTGACGGTTCACCACACCCTTCCGCTTCGCATTTGCCGCAAGAGACTCCTCCCAAAACTCTATCAAGGCTTTGCTTACATACACCGTCCGCCCCGCCGCCGCCGCCGCCGCCGCCGCCGCCGCCTCCCCTTCACTTCTCATCTCTTCGCAGTAAATATTAGTTTGATTGATTGTGTCGGCTTGGTTGCCATGGCACTTACTCTTCAGTGCGTCACGGGCGCCACTGAGCAACGCCAACGCTGCCCTCTCCTCGTCCCACGATTTCTTCAACCGTAGCACCTCCGCTGCCATGGCCCTTGTGCAAACCGCACAGGCGTAATCACGCACTCGCCAGCCGACGTGGGAAGAAGACATCTCCTCGGCAACAGGAAAAGTGCCGCGCAATGTAGGCATTGTGTTCAGCAGCGACGCCAATCGCGCTGACAATGCAGAGGGAACAAGTTTATACGGAGCCCAGGGAGCCAACTTGCCGTGTGGACAGCGCAGGCCCTCCATTAGGTCCAAAAGCAAAGCCCAAGATGTCCCTTCAAACAGTATATTATTTTCGTTGGCCATATCCACACCCCCTCCTCCTTCATTTATTCGCGTGGCGGTGGCGTCGTCGTCCAGCTGCTCTGTGGATGTTGCGCCGCGTGCGTTATCGCATGTCTCATTTCCCACCAGCGATGATGAATTGGGAGGATCGCCTCCCATCATGTCCTCGAGACCAGTACGACTGCTGGCATTCCTTCGCAACCGCTTCTTTCGCTTCTCGCACTCATTGTACTGCCGCACATCCACATACGATGGAAGGAAACCGCGACCAAACAACCGGAGCCAGCTTGAGGGAACAGCAAAAAGGTCCGCAAGCTCAGTGCTACTCCGCTCGCCCTCATCCTCCTCCTCCTCCTCCTCCCTTGCCGCCGTTTCTACCGTGACGCTGTTGCATAGAAGCCTCCCTCCAAGGAGATTTAGTGCAATTTCCCCCCATTGCTGCAGAAAAAACAAAAAATCGGCCCGACGCAACTCCCAGTCTTGTCGCCGTATTTCCAATTCACGATTCAATTGCTGCACGTGTTTTAAAAGACGAGGAGGCAACGGAAAAAAATTACCCCTCTCGTTCTTCAAATCCTCAGAAGCCCGTATCATGTCGTCATGCAACGCTGTTGTAGACTCGCATGGGCGTAACTGGTACACCAACATGTACGCTTCCTTTGAGATGACCCGATTGCCGTGAAGACGATGATGAAGTTTCGTCACCTTTGCATCGTCAAAGAGGTACCACCCTGCCTCCTCGTCAACTTTGCCGTGGAATGTGTAATGACCAGAGAGGGCAGTCTCGCCAATGTGATTTACAACACCCATGAGTGTGTAGCATGCCTTACTACAATTCGTCGTGGTGGTAGCAGCAGTATTAGTAGTGTCCGTGATATTAGCAGCACCATCCGTGGCGGAGTCGTTCTCTTCATTCCTCTGTTGTTGCTGCTGCTGCTGCCAGCGGTTGATGTAATCTGTCAGCTCCCACTCAAGTGGGAAGCTCACGGATGTCGTCACCTTCTCCCGCTGCAGTGTCTGCAGGTCAAAGGCGAAGCGATTGAGGTGCACCACCAAAACATCCGGAAGTGTTCGCAGGTACTGACAGGAGGATGCCGTGGTCGTGAGGTTGCAGCCATCGCACATAAACCCTTCCACCTCCTCCGGCTGCAGAAATGTGCTCAGTGCCTCCTCAACGGTACCCTTCACAGGAAGTGAGAGAAAAAAAAAGGGCTCCGCCCTCTTAAAGACGCGGTGGCAGTTGCTGCACCGACGGTCATAAAGAAGCGTCCCCTCAAACGTCCGCTCCACAACCTCCCCACCGTGGTGCTGCAGCCAACTGATCAGCAATGCAAAGAACTCCTGCGCATCCTGCTGTGTCTTCGTGTCCAAAGAAAGAAAGGCAGCAAACGGCTGTGCGTTGGCCCCATTACCGTCACGTGTGAGTGCCATCTCCGCAAACAGTTCTCCCAAGCCAGATGCCTGTAAGGCATACTTTATGGGTTGTGATCCCTCGTCTTCTCCCCTCTCCGCATCATCTGGTTTCTGAACCGAGTCTTCACAAATCTCATACACGCGATGTTCCTCAACGGAGAGATCCTCCGCACAGGCGCTGAACACCTCGTACCGCACGCTCGGGATATTAAAAAGCAGCTGCAGAATGGCATTGAGGTAACATGTGTTACCCAGGTTTGTTATGCCTCTACGCAGCA